GCTCTTTTTCATGAAAATAACCTTATATTTTTTGAAAAGAAATATAGTGAATGTAAATTTTTAGTAAAAGCTTTGCGACTCTTCTCTCATAACAAGCGGATCAACATATCAGACGTCAATGAGTACGCTTTTCCTAACAACGAAGGCGGATGATGGCAGAAGACTAACGGTAATTCGGTATGTTTTTATAACAATCAAAGATAAATAGTACTAAGCTTCCTTCTTAGAGTTTCTCAGTAATCGAAACAGGCGCTAAACAGCATTCACAACAAAACTTCCAAATCCTCACTCGAAATTTAAATTGTTGGAATACGTTTGTAAATCTTCTAAATAGCACAGATAAAAATTATATTCAAGACATCAAGGATAATGGATAGTGATGCATTGATTTGCCACAGTCATCTTTACGATCACCACAAAAAAAAGAGTGAATTGATCAAGTTATAACTTTGCTGTAGATATAATGAATATATACAATAGGCTTATTTGCCAGTTAAATCAATGATTAGAATAATGATAGTAATGTTAAATTAGCAAAAATGGAATGCGAAAAAGAAAAACAAACAAAAGAGCTATAGCACCAGTAAAAGATTCATCAATGGATTTCAATGAGAGTTTAATGTGTGGAACTCACAAACTCTGACTCCTATAGATTTATGATATATTGTTAGGAAGTTAAAAAGGTTCACTTATTATTTAGTAGTTTTTTCTGTTTAAAAGGAACTTTTGAAAGTACTAAAAAGTTGGTTTTTTGTCTACTTTTTTTTTACGTGGAATAACTGGAATTTGAATTAGAAACGATCTAGAATCAGTTGGGAATTACAATTTTAATCAACCAATCAACTTTTTTTCATAGGCTTTGATTAGTCATTGACATTTGGTCTACATTTACTAATATCTTTCGATCCAGATATCTGATCAGATTAACAAAATTTCAATTCCAGACTAATTCTATGCCAATTCTAATTATAATGCCAGTCAATCCTAAGAACCGGACCTCACTGGAATCCGTGTATCCATATTTGAAATAGTTTAGTTTTCTATTCAGTGGAAAAGAAAAGTAAAGTCATCAAAAGATGAATGAGCTTTAAAAGAAATATTCTCACTCTTGAGAAAAAATACATAATGATCCTCGTGCATTAGTGTAACTTGATCAATTTTGGAATAGGCTTAGAATATACATGCTAGAATTATGAGACGTCGTAGTGCATGAGTGTCGCTTCTAGTTATACCACACCTTTAAACTTTGATATCTTTAGAATTTGATTCAAATCAAGTTAAATCTCCCTCGGCCAAAAAAATTTAATCTTGTCGATTCATTTTTTCATCACCTAATACGCTGTATTAACAAAACAATATACACCACATGATGCAGCGTGAAAAGCTGTACAATCTACAAAGGACAGCTTATGTTATAATTGCGCTTTTTGTTTTCAAAATAGACAAATGTCTGAGCTACTAATTTTTGACAGTTCTAAAAAAATAATTTTTTTGGTACACGTCGAATTCGGTTTTTTTCATATTTCATCTTTTTATCACTTGATATGCTTTACTAAAAAGAAAACAAAATATACCACAAGATGCAGCGTGAAAAGCTCTACAATTTACAAAGAACAGCTTATTCCATAGTTGCACTTTTTTTCTCAAAATGGGCAAAACTCTGTGCGACTAATTTTTCATGCTGCGAACAAAATCCTTTTTTGTTACACAATCAATTTCTTTTCTTATTATTTTGGTTAATGAGTTGTATCGAAAGTCATAATCGACGGCTGAACAAAGGAATTAAATTAAAAACAATGTTTCATTAATTAATGACATAAGAAAAGGAATTGATCGTGTACCAAAGAACTATTTTTTTCTAAGTGTCAAAAACTAGTGGCTCAGAATTTTGTCCATTTTGAAAATAAAAAGCGCAATTATAAAATAAACTGTCCTATGTAGATTGTAGAGCTTTTCACGCTGCATCTTGTGGTGTATTTTGTTTTGTTAATACAGCGTATTAGGTGATGAAAAAATGAATCGAAAAGATTAGCTTTTTTTTGGCCGGGGGAGAATTTATCAATGGAAATCGAAAAGAACAGATACCTACCATAGTAGTTCCGGTTGTAGTTTTCTATATACTAGAAACTGGTTAGATAAGTAACTGTTTACTTTTTTTCACCAACGTCTGTGCTAGCCGTAGTAATTAAAATCTATCACCAATGTACATCATCCGTCACTTATCTAAAGTATGAGACATGAATGTAAATAATTGAATTTTCTTCCCCTTGATTAACTGATTGATTATAATCAAATTAAAATTAATGTTAACTTGACATTTATTTATTCTTCGAAAACGATGTCGAGAATTTCTCGCTTCTCAGTTCGCTTTCTTTTAAATTAAGATTAAGTTTACATTTGACTATTTAATGATTTGAATATTTTCATTTTTAACGCGATGCGAAGCACAGCATTTATGTAGTCTGTCGCGAGTTTTTCTGAAATTCATAGCTTATGACAGCGATATCAGTCCAATTATCATTATTGATATCGCCGATTGACATCCATATCGGCATTGCACCGTAACTCATAGAAATCTTTGTTTCATTCACAAAAGTTCCGTGTGCGACACTAAACAAAATCAACAGTTCATTTGAGACAGAATTAGAGATAGCAATATCCAACTGAGTGTCTTTGTTACAATCACAAAGGTCTGCCGAAGACGGGTAAGACATTGAGCCTGTTCAGTATATTGCCGTTTGGAAAAAAGTCCCATTTCCATATCCAAGAAGAATGCTAATACTGTGGGTGCCATAATTGGCAACAACTATATCTACTCTTGTGTCGCCATTTAAATCACCACCAACAACGGAGTAAGGTTGAGATCTAAAGCCAGTTGAATAAGTAATTTGATCTGCAAAACTCCCATTACCATATCCAAGAAACACACTGACATTGTCACTACCAGAATTTGCGACAACAATATCCAGTGGATCATCATTGTTGAAATCAGCAATGCTCAAAAATCGTGGAAAATAGTCATTACCAGTAGTGTACGTTGTTCCATCGATAAAGCTATCATGAACAGATCCAATAAATATAAAAATATTAGCTGCATCAACTACTATGAGATCCAATCGATTGTCTTCATTTCAATCGACACATTTAACACCTAATAGAGAGTAAATAGTATTTGTTGAAAAAGTCCGCTGATTTGAAAAGAAACCATCTCCACTTCTCAGAAGTAAATCGATATTCATCATGTTACGAGTGACTACTATAATATCCATTCGTTTGCCATTGTTCAAGTCTCCAACAGCAACATAATGCGGACATGGACCATTGCCATATCCAAGAAATATACCAACAGTGTTTGTTCCACTATTGGTGACAGCTATATCTATTCGATTATCATTGTTGAAATCAGTTATCCTTACTGAACATGGATTAGGAATAATCGCCAGTTAAATAGGAGATATGCTTTGTAAAAGTGTCGTTGCCATAACTTAAATAAATTGTTACAGTCTCTATACCCCCCTCGATCGAAGATCCTTGATTAGTGACACCAATATCCATATTTTGGTCGTAGTTAAAATCACCAACAGCAACAGAAGAAGGGTAACCCCAAACTCTATATCTTACTCGGTTTATCAGTGTTCCTTTATCAGATCGTAGAAGTATATTAACGCTAGAGGTATCATAACTGACGACAACTATATCCATGTGATTATCGTTGTTGAAATTACCAATAGCAATACCGTAAAAAGAATGTTCTTCTGTGTTTGAAAATACAAGACGCGCTTCGAAGTTTCCAATATCGTATCCAAAAAGCAAACCTAGATTATGACTGTCATAGTTGACGAAAACAATATCAAGTCGAGTATTATTATTAAAATCTCCAACAGCAGCTGAAAACGGTCGGGAATTTGAACCGGTGGAATAGGTTATCTGATCTTGAAAGCTTCCATTTCCATATCCAAGAAAAATACCTATACAGCTAGTACCAATATTGGTAACAACAATATCTAGTGCATTATCTCGATCCTCTACCAGTTTATTCAAGAGATAGCACTAATAGAACATTTCGGCTCGAATCTTACACAAATCCATTTGAGTTGGAAGACTCTGCAGAATGAGATTCAGCATTCTGTTACTGCAGTCGTCATCTTTCACACTTAATACAAAGTCATAGAATAATCCTCATGTGAGCAAAAAAATTTTGTCAAACAAAAATTTCAAATTGTCAATTTATAATTTGTTGACTTATTCATAAAAAAATCTAAAGAATGTGTAAGTGTAGACAATTTTACAAAGCAAAGGATGATGTCGATCTCAGAAGCTTTTATGAAAATTTGTACTATGGTTAACAGATTTGAAAAAGTGCTAGGAAGCTCAGCTACCCCAGCAGCGAATTTCTGATTTCGCCACTATATTTAATAAGAGTAGTTTGTCATCGTTAACGACTGTTTACCGATACATACGATAAAAAGCGATGAGCGTAGATCACACCGTTTACAGCTGGCGTCTACGATATCTTACGATATTATCCGAGTGCCGTTTACAGTCGCTGTATTATTACAGTAGTCGTAAACGGCGAATATTCACGGTCACTGTTTACGACGAGCGTAATACACCGTAAAACCTCGTATATGACTGCCGTAAACGGTCACTATAAACAGCTATCGTTTTTCATCGTAAATGATTGATATACGGCCGTTTACGACCCGACGTGATTGACCTGGGTCTATTAAAGAACTTACTTTCTGTTTCATTAAATTTTCATCACCAGTTGAACAATGGACTGACATCAATATTTATGATTATAAATAATTTTATACAAATCGCTTCAAGCTCAGTTACAGTAGTGGCCAAAAGTCCCGCCCCTAGTAGAATTTTCTAGAAATTCTAGAACCTTCCATAAATTTTATATAAATATACAGTACTAATCACCTCCTGATCGGAACCACTCTTCATTTCTCCTACATTGTTATTAATCATTAACTATAACATAACATTCAAATATGGCCTTACAAGTGTACCAGCGGTATGAAATTGTCTTTTTATCTCAACATCCGCTAGGACCGAAGCTCAGCCATATGGCTGTAGCGAAGGCAGTTCATTGTGACGAAAAGACGGTGAAGCGTTGGCTCAAGGGGTGGAAGCAATCAAAAGATTTGACCGATGCAGCTCGATCTGGACGATCACGTGTAACAACTCCAAAACAGGATCAAAAAATTGTTGCACTTGCTGAACANATTTATGTCGTAAATATTTATTCTTTTAATTCATAAACCTTGGCAAGAATATATTACACATTGCAACCAAATATTCTTTTAAAGGTCTGTCAGTTTGATAGACTCTTCTGAAGAATGTTTTGATTCTAGATATTTTCAGAAGTGGGTTACCAATAAATGTTATTTACTTGACTATCTAAATATGAGGCTAATAGTCGTTTGTCGAGAATCAATTCTTATACGTTTACCTTTATCACTGTTGCAAGCAACAGAAATCAGCACGCCTAAATTAAGAAAATAAGAAAATTCTTTATTCCTGATATTTAAATAAAATTGAACACAATAATCATTTACCTGTGTGTAGTATATTGCTGGTTGTAAACTATCAGCTGAATATCAGTAAATAATGGAAACTCTAGTCTAATCTTTAGTATTAGACATATTTCCGCTCAATATCGACATAGAATGTAGGCGAATATTTTTGAAGAATAAAACCACATAAATAATATCGAAATTCATTGCGAGAAAATACTTTGTTTGACATATGTATATATATATATATTTATATGATGATATTTTGTTGTCATCGAAAAACAAGGTCCGACATAGCTATAAAATGCTTGAAGACAAACCAGTTTTGGCTTACATCCTACATTATCCATTGGTTGTTCTCATCACATATATATATGCATACTAGCTAAAGGTAGATAAAGTAATAAAAAGCGCAATTACTGTTACTAGATGACGCTCATTTATCGTACGGGAAATATTTTTCATGCTGATATGAAAATTTAATTCTTATTGTTTTGTACTAAAAATTAGTCCAGATTTCAGTTTCAACTTTTGAGAAATTTAACGGGGTTTGGAAAATTAACGAGTGCGCCAGATATAATGGCCACGCTTTGCATTTGAATTTTCATTCTCTGAATATATTGTACTAAAAAAACAAACTATACCGCACGTTGCAACGTCAAACGCTCTACAATTAACATAGAACCGCTTTTTTTATATTTGCACTTTTTGCTTTTGAAAATGGTCAAAATTCTGAGCGATCAAATTTCAGCTGTGTGGAAAGATGACACTAACGAGAATTTTCCTTTTTCTTAATTTGGGTGTGGGTGTGGGATGTGGCTGTGGCTGTATGTGTGGGAGATCTTCGCTTGCACTGCACTCACACCCACTCATCCACATCCCACACCCACACACCGACACCCAGACACCCGCACGCACTACGACTAATATACCCATAACCATATATATGCCGAATTATTAGTAAAAAGTAATACCTTGGTAAAAAAATTTGATACAGATAAATAGTAGAGCTTATTATCTTTCTAACCATATAAAATTAGTGGGGGTTTTCTGAAAATTTTCAAGTAGGACCTATTTTGCTAGAATATCCACTCCCATCCTTTCAATTAATGTATGAAAATAACAGTTGGTCTAATCCGAAAATTCTGCACATCTCATTTTTTTTCTCGTTCTACAGAACAAGATTTTTATTATTAGTTATTCTATAAATGCAGGTGATGATTATGATTATTCTCCAGTCAGTATCATTATACATGTCTTTGTGGTGGAACATTTAATTATACATCATGCAAACTTGATTTTCGTTTTTCTGTTCAACATAAAAAATGTTTATCTGCTAAACAAGCTGAATGTTTAGGCAATTATTTTAATGATTCATTATTATTTAAAATTATTTCTTTCCGCATTTTCTTTTTTCAAATTCAGTATTTGAAAAACACAATTATATATTTATTTCATGTATGGAATATGATTGATACAAGAAGGCGTGATTAGAAATGCCTTTTTTAGAAGAAAGATAATTTTTAAGCAAATAAATATTTATATAAATATACATAAATGCTGTCTGACTAGGGATTTTGTTTAGAGGATAATGTATCATTTAATGTTGATTAGTTCGGTCATGACGACGTCGAAATTTATGAGTTTAGTGTGTTTAGCGAATTAAGAAATAGATCATAGATACACTTACGTTCATTTACACTCTTCTAAATAATGTTTTGCAATGTAAATAGTTGTTGAAGCTAAAGTTCTAACTGAATGGCGTGAGTGTGAGCGTTCCTGTAGATCTTAATAGACTGATATAACAGCAACATCCACATACCCTGATGAACATGGATAATTTAAATTAAATCTTTTAGAGAAATTCAACAACAAAAATATTAAATGTTTTTTGTAAGTAAAACAGAAATTTCTACTGATGTTCTTCGAAAAATTTTGTGATACTAAGCAAAAATCCAAAGTCTGTCAATTCTATGTATAGTTAACAGGTTACTGTTTATAGCATCTGATTAAAAAATTGTTAATCTCATTATCAAAAAGTAAACTTAATAGTTTAGACAACAAGTTTTATGATAATATGAAATTTGAAATGTATGTGAAATTTTGGTGTAGGTTTGGATGTGAAATAGTGTGACTCTGAATATTACTCTTCCCTTCGTTTACGCTTACATCCAAACCCTCAAGACTCACGTTCATACTCACAACTACACCTACACCCACACCGTAGGTTGAATATGAAAAGGATAAAAGAAAGATAATGCAGCATATATTAATGCCAAATCGACACATTCATAAGCATTTTCATATGCATAATACCGACTCATAAAGGTTGTACATTTCTTACAAATAAAGTTAGCTGTTATTTATTGTAACAGATATTACTGCAGAGTAATTTTCTTTGTCGTCTTTTGAACCTGCAAAAACTATCTTGCTCGATGACGTAATCGATAATNTCCTTTTTTCTCTCGTTCTACAGAACAAGATTTTTATTATTAGTTATTCTATAAATGCAGGTGATTATGATTATTCTCCATTGTGTACGCTTGCACCCGATTGTCGAGATAGACAAAATGGTAATTAGGCTGATAAATATCGATCGAATTGTCAGTATCATTATACATGTCTTTGTGGTCGAACATTTAATTATACATCATGCAAATTTGCTTTTCGTTTTTCTGTTCAACATCAAAAATGTTTACTTGCTAAACAAGTTGAATGTTTAGGCAATTATTTTAATGATTCATTATTATTTAAAATTATTTCTTTCCGCATTTTCTTTTTTGAAACTGAGTATTTGAAAAACACAAGTGTATATTTATTTCATGCATGGAATATGATTGATACAAGAAGACGTGATTAGAAATGCCTTTTTTGGAAGAAAGATAATTTTTAAGCAAATAGATATTTATATAAATATACATAAATGCTGTCTAACTAGGGATTTTGTTTTGAGGATATTGTATCATTTATTGTTGATTAGTTCTGTCATGCCGACGTCGAAATTTATGAGTTTAGTGTGTTTAGCGAATTAAGAAATAGGTCATAGATACACTTACGTTCATTTACACTCTTCTAAATAATGTTTTGCAATGTAAATAGTTGTTGAAGCTACAGTTCTGACTGAAGGGCGTGAGTGTGAGCGTTGCTGTAGATCTAAATAGACTGATATAACAGCAACATTCACATATCCTGATGAACATGAATAATTTAAATTAAATCTTTTAGAGAAATTCAACAACAAAAATATTAAATGTTTTTTGTAAGTAAAACAGAAATTTCTACTGATATTCTTCGAAAAATTTTGTGATACTAAGCAAGAATCCAAAGTCTGTCAATACTATGTATAGCTAACGGGTTACTGTTTGTAGCATCTGATTAAAAAATTGTTAATTTCATTATCGAAAACTAAACTTCATAGTTTGGACAACAAGTTTTATGATAATATCATATTTGAAACGTATGTGAAATTTTGGTGTAGGTTTAGATGTGAAATAGTGTGACTATGAATATTACTCTTCCCTTCGTTTACGCCTACACCCAAACCCTCAAGACTCACACCCATACCCACAACTACACCTACACCTACACTGTAGGTTCAATATGAAAAGGATAAAAGAAAGATAATGCAGCATATATTAATGCCAAATCGACACATTCATAAGCATTTTCATATGCATAATACCGACTCATAAAGGTTGTACATTTCTTACAAATAAAGTTAGCTGTTATTTATTATAACAGATATTACTGCAGAGTAATTTTCTTTGTCGTCTTTTGAACCTGCAAAAACTATCTTGCTNTTGGTCTAATCCGAAAATTCTGCACATCTCATTTTTTTTTTTCGTTCTGCAGAACAAGATTTTTATTATTAGTTATTCTATAAATGCAGGTGATTATGATTATTCTCCAGTCAGTATCATTATACATGTCTTTGTGGTGGAACATTTAATTATACATCATGCGAACTTGGTTTCGTTTTTCTGTTCAACATAAAAAATGTTTACTTGCTAAACAAGTTGAATGTTTAAGCAATTATTTGAATGATTCATTATTATTTAAAATTAGTTCTTTCCGTATTTTCTTTTTTGAAATTCAGTATTTGAAAAACACAATTATATATTTATTTCATGCATGGAATATGATTGATACAAGAAGGCGTGATTAGAAATGCCTTTTTTAGAAGAAAGATAATTTTTAAGCAAATAAATATTTATATAAATATACATAAATGCTGTCTAACTAGGGATTTTGTTTTGAGGATATTGTATCATTTATTGTTGATTAGTTCGGTCATGCCGACGTCGAAATTTATGAGTTTTGTGTGTTTAGCGAATTAAGAAATAGGTCATAGCTACACTTACGTTCATTTACACTCTTCTAAATAATGTTTTGCAATGTAAATAGTTGTTGAAGCTAAAGTTCTAACTGAATGGCGTGAGTATGAGTGTTGCTGTAGATCTAAATAGACTGATATAACAGCAACATTCACATACCCTGATGAATATGGATAATTTAAATTAAATCTTTTAGAGAAATTCAACAACAAAACTATTAAATGTTTTTTTGTAAATAAAACAGAAATTTCTACTGATATTCTTCAAAAAATTTTGTGATACTAAGCAAAAATCCAAAGTCTGTCAATACTATGTATAGCTAACGGGTTACTGTTTGTAGCATCTAATTAAAAAATTGTTAATTTCATTATCGAAAAGTAAACTTAATAGTTTAGACAACAAGTTTTATGATAATATCAAATTTGAAACTTATGTGAAATTTTGGTGTAGGTTTGGATGTGAAATAGTGTGACTCTGAATATTACTCTTCCCTTCGTTTACGCCTATACCCAAATCCTCAAGACTCACGCTCATACCCACAACTACACCTACACCCACACCGTAGATTGAATATGAAAAGGATAAAAGAAAGATAATGTAGCATATATTAATGCCAAATCGACATATTCATAAGCATTTTCATATGCATAAAACCGACTCATAAAGGTTGTAAATTTCTTACAAATAAAGTTAGCTGTTATTTATTATAACAGATATTACTGCAGAATAACTTTCTTTGTCGTCCTTTGAACCTGCAAAAACTATCTTGCTTGATGACGTAATCGATAATTTCAGACTAGCTAATGGTAATTGCCAAACATATTGATGATTATTGATTGAAGATGTAACTGTGCCGTTGATCTGTTGCCATAACCAATCACTTCCGATGTTTCCTTTATGATCATAATACCGACTATTTTCTACGAGAAAGTCTGCACCTATGCTTTTAACAAAATAGCCAGTTGCAGGATTATTGTCGGCATCAATAAAAGCTTGATGATAAGAATAAACTATATCATAGGTAGCCGAAAGAATTAGAGAGTTTGGTATTTTCACAGCACTAATTTGACTAATGGATGTTGTAGGAGGAGTAGTACTAGTAACAGTAATTTCTTGAACAATATCATCGTTGGTAAGNTGACTCTGAATATTACTCTTCCCTTCGTTTACGCTTACATCCAAACCCTCAAGACTCACGTTCATACTCACAACTACACCTACACCCACACCGTAGGTTGAATATGAAAAGGATAAAAGAAAGATAATGCAGCATATATTAATGCCAAATCGACACATTCATAAGCATTTTCATATGCATAATACCGACTCATAAAGGTTGTACATTTCTTACAAATAAAGTTAGCTGTTATTTATTGTAACAGATATTACTGCAGAGTAATTTTCTTTGTCGTCTTTTGAACCTGCAAAAACTATCTTGCTCGATGACGTAATCGATAATTTCAGACTAGCTAATGGTAATTGCCAAACATATTGATGATCATTGATTGAAGATGTGACTGTTCCGTTGATCTGTTGCCATAACCAATCACTTCCAGTGTTTCCTTTATGATCATAATAACGACTATTTTCTACGAGAAAGTCTGCACCTATGCTTTTAACAAAATAGCCAGTTGCAGTATTATTGTCGGCATCAATAAAAACTTGATGATAAGAATAAACTAAATCATAGGTAGCCGAAAGAATTAAAGAGTTTGGTATTTTCACAGCACTAATTTGACTGATGGATGTTGTAGGAGTAGTAGTACTAGTAATAGTAATTTCTTGAAAAATATCGTCATTGGTATGTGAACCAGGAGCAGAAGCTGTAATGGAAATATCTTTTACTAGTAGATTTGTACCATCAGCATTCCAGACATTATCATTGCCGAATCGAACTGCATAACGTTCATCATCTTGTAATTGTGCACTGCTATCAGGCAGAGCTAGCAATAGTTGCCAAAGACCTTGATTGATAGTGGCCGGAATACGTAGCTTGCGGTCAATAGTTACTACGCCAGCTTCGGGCGTCCAAGTACGAACGTCTATGCTGAGAGTAGTTTGGTATCTTATATTTTGACTTCCTGTCTTACCATTGTCAAGGATCAGATTCACTGGTCTTGTCAGATGCATTGCTGCAAATCCACTATTTTGCACTTTCAGAATAAAGTTGAATATACCACCGGGCGCTACTTCTTTTGAATAAGAAAGACTCTTTAACTCGAAGCGGTAGCCAAGTTTACGCGTAAAATCTTCTCTAATCGAATTACTCCATGCATCAAAGATCGGTTTATAGTAATCTCGATGAAGATACGTCATATGTTGCTGTTTGGATTCCACCATTGCGTTATTACCATTGTTGTATTCACCGTTTGGAGTACCATAGGCTTCGCCACCAAAAAATGTGTAACGAGTCATGTTATGGATGTAAGCAAGTTCTTGATCTCGTGACCAGCCGTGAGAGAATGTGCCACCGTCATCTTTGCTGTTGAGATATGCGTCATTGTGATAGCCGGTACGTGCTTTCGTTGAACTGCCATAAGCCTCATTAGGCATAAGTGGTTTGCTATCGTTAAAAATTTGACGAATATAATAGGGTCTACGAACAAGTACAGAGCGTCTAGTCGAAAGTGCAGACATATACGTGCTATGAACCTGTTTAAGTGCGCTGATTGCAATCGGATAATACATTTGAGTATTTATAGTACTGTGATGTGAGGAATGCATTTCACCCCATGGCCCAAACATACCCATCTCGACCGCAATGATCACATCTTCATAATCGTTATAAATTGNAAAAATTTGACGAATATAATAGGGTCTACGAACAAGTACAGAGCGTCTAGTCGAAAGTGCAGACATATACGTGCTATGAACCTGTTTAAGTGCGCTGATTGCAATCGGATAATACATTTGAGTATTTATAGTACTGTGATGTGAGGAATGCATTTCACCCCATGGCCCAAACATACCCATCTCGACCGCAATGATCACATCTTCATAATCGTTATAAATTGGTTGCATATCCATGACATGTGCTTTAATGATTTGAATATCCTTTGGATCTGGAGCCAATGTTTCAGTCCATGCATAAGCCGAACGCAAAATAACTTTCAACCCTCGTGTGCGACAGCTATTGAGCACTGTGCGAACTTCATTCAATTTTACTTGACCAATATGTGCACTGTTGACGTAGCCTGACAAGTCTATATTGATATGAACTAGTGACACTTTTTCTGTACTGTTCCGAAGAATGTCCAATCCCCACATATCATAAGAATATCGTTGTACACTCCATCCTCGTTCCGGATTAGCGAACAACATTTGACTCGATACAAATGTCTTAGTGACAGTAGCCGGTTCCGTCATCAATGTATTACACCATGAACTTATTGCGAGTTCAGCAAGTAATATGATCAAATGTAATTTTTCCATTTATTTTTATTTGTTGATTCTAGAAAACAAATACTAAGTACTAATATATATGCGTTCGTTTTCTATGAGCAATTCAAGACTGAGATGTTTGAATAGATAAATGACGATTGAATGTAAGAAATAAGGATTACAATTGGTGAAATTTTGACGCCAGGAAACTATCGCAACAGCCGCAAATCAACACCTTACTCTCATTGTCATAGAGTACCTAATGAAGTACGAACAAAACTATGATAATAACGAATAGATACAGGCCAAAAATACTATCTTGCTATCTTTCTCTACTTTAACCTTGTGGAATTTGATGCAATTTATATGTAAAATTTGTTTCTATTTGATATACTCTGTATTTTTCTTATCGGATCTAAGCCTTCTCCCTTGATCACAGCTAAAATGGAAAAATATGTGGACGTTCGTATTACATTTTCAGCTATTGTTTATGTGATATTTTTAAAATTTTGCCTTTCACTAATTATCGTTCGTAAAATGATCAGATTTCGTATTCAAAAATCTCTACTTTTGTGAATTGTTTGTAGTGCAACATCAAATGAAGCTCTTACTGTCAATAATGTATCTGGTCCTACTTTGAAATATTCGAGTGTATATTTCGAAAAACTGCTTAGTATTAACAATTAAGAACCCGTAGTGATAAACAAATTTGATTGCAACATATATATTTGATCTCAAATGTAAAATCTATTTTCGTACTTTTTCAATTTATTTTCAAATAAGCTTCGAGGGCAATCTCTTCGTGATTAAAATGTGGAATATGATACAGTCGTAAAATCAAAAGGATGCGGACAGGAGTATTATCCATGATTTTCTTCATGATGAAATTTATTTTTAAAAAAAGTACATTAAATCGCTTGGCAATTCAGCTTTTCTCTATAACATCCTGCATTTGACGAACGAACATAATTGATTTTTATTTTGGTATCAGCTATCGATTGAAATTTGAGAATATTTGTAAGTTAGATACAGTGTATATATTAATAAAACCACTAGAGCAACCAACCAACAAAAAATAATCAGAGCACATATGAGAGATGAAAAGAATGAACGATATACACATGATGGCACTGTCTGGATGCCATGGTCTATAATGATGTGTGCAATATCATAGCAATGTCTGTTACACTCAGTTGGAAGGTTCTCTTTTTTCCTATATATTTCAAGATTCCTTTCAGATAGTCTTTCATAAAATGACAAGATATCATACCGTATATCGAGAATCATGAAGTTTTGAAAGGGAAAATTGAAATAAACTCATAGAGTTTTACACATAAGACGTGTTGTTTTTTTTGACAAGCAATATTTTTGAAATATCTAAAAATAATTTTAATTTTTATATAAAAAAGATTAGTTTCAATTGTANTTCCATTTTAGCTGTGATCAAGGGAGAAGGCTTAGATCCGATAAGAAAAATATGTGGACGTTCGTATTACATTTTCAGCTATTGTTTATGTGATATTTTTAAACTTTTGCCTTTCACTAATTATCGTTCGTAAAATGATCAGATTTCGTATTCGAAAATTTCTACTTTTGTGAATTGTTTGTAGTGCAATATCAAATGAAGCTATTAGTGTCAATAATGTATCTGATCCTACTTTGAAATATTCGAGTGTATATTTCGAAAAACTGCTTAATATTAACAATTTAGAACCTGTAGTGATAAACAAATTTGATTACAACATATATATTTGATCTCAAATGTAAAATCTATTTTCGTACTTTTCCAATTTATTTTCAAATAAGCTTCGAGGGCAATCTCTTCATGATTAAAATGTGAAATATGATACAGTCGTAAAATCAAAAGGATGTGGACAGGAGTATCATCCATGATTTTCTTCATGATGAAATTTATTTTTAAAAAAGTACATTAAATCGCTTGGCACTTCAGCTTTTCTCTATAACATCCTGCATTTGACGAACGAAGATAATTGATTTTTATTTTGGCATCAGCTATCGATTGAAATTTGAGAATATTTGTAAGTTAGATACAGTGTATATATTAATAAAAGCACTAGGGCAATCAACCAACAAAAAATAATCAGAGCACATATGAGAGATGAAAAGAATGAACGATATACACATGATGGCACTGTCTGGCTGCCATGGTCTATAATGATGTGTACGATATCATAGCAATGTCTGTTACACTCCGTTGGAAGGTTCCCTTTTTTCCTATATATTTCAAGATTCCTTTCAGATAGTCTTTCATAAAATGACAAGATATCATACCGTATCTCGAGAATCATGAAGTTTTGAAAGGGAAAATTGAAATAAACTCATAGAGTTTTACACATAAGACGTGTTGTTTTTTTTGACAAGCAATATTTTTGAAATATCTAAAAATAATTTTAATTTTTATATAAAAAAGATTAGTTTCAATTGTAGCAACGGGTAGATGCACTCTAGTCAAACTAGTTCGTTTATTCTGAAGATGGAGAATTACTTAAATAAGTACTTGTATTGTTTGAAACTGAAATCGTTACTTTTTGCATAATGTATTTGATATCTCTATGTCAATTTCGATGCGAGCAATACGTTTCTTCATGATTAACTGGAAAATATCCAGATCGAACATTTTCAATTTAACTTTTAGCAAGTCTGATTTCAAACAACGTAATCCATATCAGAACTTTTCCGTTTGAGGAATATTTGTGGGCTACGTTCAAGGAATTTTAACGAGTTAAGGGAAAACCTAGACGCCATTATAGAGAAAAGCTGAATTGCCAAGCGATTTAATGTACTTTTTTTAAAAATAAATTTCATCATGAAGAAAATCATGGAT